GTAACCGCATTACACAAACCATCACCTAATATTATATTGCCTAGTGAGCCCTTAACTCTATTGAAAATCAAAATATTTCCATGCTACGCTCTACTTTAATGTTGTTATATTTCTATAGATTCATATCGGTTTATATTTCCGTTAAAAGCATGAAGTTGAGTCAACCACTAAGGCCGGTGTCGATAGTTTCTGGGCCGAAACGCGTGGCCGTCAGATCCGAGGCCCGATTTCTGTTATCTGTCCGTTCGATCTCAGAACACTGACGTCCGTCGCTGCGTTGAGAGCCAAGATGTCGATTTTTTAAATCGTAAACTAACTTAACTGACATACCTAATAAATATTTAACCGAACGGTTCACTCATTAAGCATTCGAGTCCTGTTTTAGTAAATTAAACTAATAAATGTCAATTACGAGACGGTGTTCCGAGAGTTATGTCACTTATGGTGTAGCAGAATAATAATTTGCAATATCTTTTCTATGTTTTGGAGCATAAGTATGACACGGCTGGCGCACAAATCTCACTAGACGTATCGTTGTTCTAGTTTGCTGACAACAAATCGTATGTTTAGCGACGCCGTTGGCTTGTATAATTAACAATACCAGCATTATGCGATTTCCAAACCAAGCGTCACACGGAGATCATTTGTCACGACGCAAATTGCTATTTATGAGGATTATCTATACTTAAGCGAGGTAAATTGTTTTGCGTTGACATAGGCTTTGTTCAATGCTCCTTAGTGATTTAACCTTTCCCAATTGTAAATAAACCGTCGTGTAATCACTTCTAACTTCGAGAACAATACACGAACTCTAGTGGGTATTTCGTATATAGCTTTTCTTACTATCCTGACTGCTATGAAGTATCCTAGTAATTTCATCTACACAAAATCATGTGTAAATCTCTGTGCACAACAAAAGGCAGAGATATGCAAATCCGACCTCTCACCTGCAGACATTGTTTCCGTGCTCGTAAATAAGCTGACGCTATTCGACCAACTATCGGCTGCTATGGGCATTTGGTCAGATTCCGAGGCAGGCAGCCGTGGCAGCCACGTGTGCTCGCCTCCGCGTGCCTCGTCCCGAATATGCAAGTCTGCCGATGCCTCTTCGAATATGCTGTTCTACTACAGGGCTGCTACTTAACACTTACCATTTCTATACTTATATAATAGGGAATAGGCATGGCATAAAACAGCGAGTTTTTTATTTTATATAAAAGTTATATCATTTCTCTCTAACCTAGTAATTTGCTATTATTGTTTTTTATTGTTTCATCCCTATTATCCGTATACCAAATGTCATGAAAATCCGTTGAGTAGTCTTTACGTTGAAAGAGTAACAAACACAGATTTTTTTGCATTTATACGTGTAATATTGGTAGCAATGACATGGTTTATGTAAATGTTATTACTACTTTTTAGAGTTGATATATTTCTAGTATCCATTTTTCTTATCCGCTAAGTAAAAATTTTGAAGTTTATTGATTTATAACTTTCATATAAAATCCGCAGTTATAAATGTGACAACCCTCACTGCATTCGTCGCAAATCACAAATAATATCGGATAACGTAGATAGACCATGCAAGACTAATATACGACTTCAGTGAATGCTACTGCACTGATATTACATTGTTAAAATAATTGAAACCAAACAAAAAACTTTTGGTCATCAACAAATAAATTAGACTCCTATGAGAAAAGTAAAAAAAATAATAATTTAAAGAAAGACAAAAAACCCGACTGCGTAAAAACGAATTTTAAGAATACATGATACAAATAAAAACTAAAAAGAAAGCAACAAGCTCAGTAGTTTAGAATTCTGTTAAGTAATACTAAATAACTAAACTAAATAAATACTAACAGAATTCTAAACTACTGGGCTTGTTTCTACCTTTTTAGTTTTTATTTAAGACATGTCGCTGTGTATTTTGATTATTGTCATGTCTTTAGTGACACTCGCAAGATTAAAACGAATCGATTGACGTAAGAATCATCAAAATCGGTCTACGCGTTTGGTCTCTAGAACGCCACATAGAAACAAACATACAAACAGAGACCTCCTTACAAAACATACATACCTCCTTTGCGTCGCGCAGTCGGATAACAAACATACATACATAGACTGACAAACACATTACCCTCCTTTGCGTCGCGCAGTCGGATAAAAACAGATCAGTGATAGAATTTAGCTTTATTCTAAAGTTAATTTATATTTCTTTTATATTAAATTCATATTTTATTAAAAAATTAAGTTCATTCATAAGTTCAACATTGATTCTAAATTTTGATCAATATTGAAGCCCATTTTTTACTTTCTGCCAATAAGTAAAGATATTCGCGTAGGTAAACTGCTCTATGCATAGGGAAGAGAATCCTCGTGTCAATGGTTCCTGAAAGTGGGTATTTTGGTGTTTTTAACAGTTGTAGCGAATATTAGTACTACTTAGGTATCCGATACCAAAAAAATATTGAACATAATTGAGAAGTTGTGGTCGTGGTAGTTGAAAATATCATAAAAGGTGTAAATTTTCGAAAATTTTCGAATTTTATTTTATAATAAAAAAGATTAATAAGATATAATTTTTTTCTTATTTTTCCATAAGTACACATGAACAGGTCTACCTCTTGGCGCCCGCTTATCGTTGAATTTTGGGACACGTTGTATACTGTATTGTGCTAACGCACCAAACTATACATATGACTACTAGTCGTCACAATTAGTAATTAGTTATATATTTCTTTAATATATATGCGAACAGAACGTAACATTTAAAAGTGCTCTCTACATGATCACCTACTTATTTGTAATACCACTGATTGCCATTACACCTCATCACTACATATTATAAAACAATGGCTCCGCCGCTTGTCTGTCTGTCTGTTCGCGATAAACTCGGAAAAAACTGGACGGATTTTCATGCGGTTTTTCAACAATAGATAGAGCGATTCTTGAGGAAAGTTTTTGTGTGTAGTAAGTTTAGGTTTTGTACAAAGTGACGATTTTACATCGATATTCGTTCAATATGGCGGAAAAAATAAAGCCGATCGAAAACTTTACTCGAAAACGCTGACAAAAACTTTTGAATTATAACAAAACATTGTATGGTGGGATTGTACCTCTTTAATAGATCTACAAAAAGTTCGCGGTGGTAATGTCTGTCTATATTCCAAGGATAACCCACAATAACCATTTTTTATGTATACTTAAAACAGTAAAATGAATAAGTTAGATACGTTATGCATGTAATGTAGATCAAAATTGCCTTTTACACTTTATAATTAAAATTTACTATAACTAATGAATGAGTCATCGAAAAATAAAAAAATGTCCGGGCGAGCTATTAAATATCGATGAATAAAAATGAATCGCCGAAACGTATGTACGCACATAACTTCCGAAATTCAGTTTAGACTGCACCAAATTGGATGATTCTATTATTATGTGTTCCACGATTCATTACACGGTTTGTATATAAGATTTCTTTTTAAACGGGTTTAAGGCGGTTCGAAGTTCACCGGGTCAGCTTTCTATATAAACTAACATTATATAGATATAACTATATTAAGCATTAGCAGTTCATTAGAAACTAGACACATGCTGGAAATTGAATAACAGCAGAACCTTTGATTTTGTAAATAATCAAACAGCCGAAACTTACAGCTTTATTATTTTTTTACGGTTAAGAGATTGTACTAATGTTCTAATTCGACGTGTTTTTTATAATATATTTTTTGATAATATATAACTTTACTTATTACTTGATTCGTAATTAATTAAACTATGAATTTGGTAAAATTTTCTACATACCTTTAATTGGTTTAAAATTTTGTACCAACAGAAAGTGCAATGTCACTGGGCGAGCGAACCAACTTGTTGTCTCGTTCCAACTGATTAAATTTTTATTTTCAATATGAAACTTTCATCTAATTGAATTACTTAAACTTTCATTAACTTGAGACAAACTTAAGATATTGAAATTGAAAATTATTAGATATACACTTTAAGGTGTATCGATATTATTCGATATAACAGCATGAATAACGTCAATCGAACTTCGTAAATGCGCATGTTTGTTTATTACATTCTGCGGTGACATGGATTAATTAAGTCATGAGAGATGTTATGATTTAAATATTTTATACTTTGTATTTGTCTCTTCGTGTATGGAGTTTTTTTTGTATAACATTTGGTTTGATTATTGGATGGGTAACTTACGTAGAAACATGTGTTGCAGCTATATATTTTGATAATTTATTTTGACGTTCTGTTTTTTGTTTAACTTAAGCATAGACCTCCATAAGGTCAATGAATTTAAGCTGTACTATTCTGATAAAGAACAGCCTTGTCACGTCATCATCATCATCTGATGATAAATAATGAAGGCCCGTGCTCTTTAACATCCTCACTTCAGGGTTTCAGGCCATCCCTATTGATAGTTAAGGAGAATGACCATGACCCTCCACGCTGGCTCAAAGCAGATTGGAAGGTATTAATTAACGACCGGGATCATCGGCTTGACGTGCCTTCTGAAGCACGGAGTAGGTCGAGATAATATATTTTGGTCACCAATCTCGTGCGAAAGTTGTTTAACAAAAATGATCGCGGGCAGCGCCGCTTATCCACTATGTCACCACGTTATCACTTCATAGAGCTTCAATGAGATAAAATAAAACTTTTTTGAAGTAGTTTTTATTTGATTCAACCTCTAAGCCATAACTGCACTGCGTTCGACGTCAACTTCAAGGATGTTTTTATAACGGAATAGCACTGCGTAGATAGAAGATAGAAGTCATCAATTTTGATCATTTTCGTTTCCTAAGTCAGCAATTTCGATCAATATTACAAGTATAATTAATATCGATTGTACATATCCGTCTTTATCATTCCAACCCAACACTTTGGTATTCTTCTATTCTTATTTTTTGAGACTATATAAAAATATAATTCTGTAAATATATTATGACTATTACTTTATAGTGCATTCTGTTTCATTGTAGGTAAGTGACAAATGGAAAAATTACATCGGTGAACGATACACTCATGATGCATCCGGCTGGATACTACGCAAACCTTGGTAAGACACAAAAATAATATTTATAGATATTAGGCTGCACGGCGCAGATGTGTGCTGTGTGCGATAAAAAAAAAAGAATGTCATTCTCGTTTAGCTAGTTTAATACATGATTTCAAATAATCTTAAAACTTTTTATGACAAATTTAATATAAGAAATAAGAATAAACGATATCGAAAATAAGTCCTGTGTAGAATACAAACTTTACTAAGTATGTGCAATTTAAACAATATCACATTTTAATAGTTTAATCAGATTGATAACACCATTCACCAAATCAACAATAAAACAAACAAAAAAATAACAAAGAAACAATATTCCTATCAACGAATTATCGGTGAATAATATAACATATCTATTTATTTATTCACTCCAACAATTTATATTTTAATAAATATAAAATTTTCATACCTATTTTTAATAAAATCAATCTCAAACTACTTCCAGCTCAGCGCTGTAACAGTATAGAGGTTCAATAAAATAAAAACTTTATAACTATTTGAAGTAGGTTTTACTCGATTAAATTTCTACACTGTGACAGCATTTTACTGGACTTCGAGTTCGCCGCTAACTTTTTTACAGATTAACACTGTATCTATCTAACACTGTATCTTACACTCTGTATCTATCTATAGTCGAGAGAAGTAATTACTTGAGCATATGAAATAATTTTAATAGATAATTTTACAAGATAAACAAGAATTTAAATGAATTATGAACTGTAAATAAATATTTGCTAAAGTTATGAGTTTATGATATATTTTTAAGTGAATACTTCTCCCGACTATAGATACGTACGAGTGTAATAGCAATGGTTCCCATCGTACATTTACGAATGTTGACGTGGTTCGGGTAAATTTAAAAATGCTATTAAAATAAATTGATATTTTATTCATAAAGAAAGTATAAAAAATCATATAAGTAGGTAACGTATAAGAAAATTTTCAAGAATATTCTTTTGTAACTAACTTTTTATCATTGTATCTTAACATATTGTTTATCTAATATTATTGTTTTTCTTAAACCGCTCTTATCATATCGTGTTACTGAAATCAGTCACTTATCAGGCGACGATTACCTACGTCATTTCTTAGAATATATCACAAAATTATACTACAAGAAGAAGGAAACAAAATATTACCTATGATATTGATAAATTATAAAAATAAATATTAGATAACATCAAATACCTACATTAGAAATCTAAAATACCGAAGGTATCGAAAACACCCAAACTGTTTTTTTTTTTATATGCTACATTGATCCGCTTGAGAATCGAACCCGAGACCTCATGGATGGCGATACCTTGAAACAGGCATGCAAGCCACTCAGCTATGGAGGTCCGTAATAATTAAAAAGTGAATAATTATAAAGAACTACTTACCTGTGGTCCCATGACTTCACACGAATAAATTATTGCCTGCTTTAATTTTTAAAATCGATCCAGTAGTTTCGAAATCTATTCGATGCAAACAAACAAACAGTCAAATCCTTCCTCTTTATAATATTAGAATAAATATGTAGTATAGATTAGACTCTATCACATAGGCATAAATCTGTCTATGATCCGAGCATAAATTAATGGACGTAGTTCAACAATATTTATACCAACGTATATTTACTACTAATTTACAAAAGTGACACTTAACTACATATTTACAAATATATACATTGTTTATAACAACAAAAGAAATCGAAACCAGTAACAGTTTAACGTATTGTAAACATAACAACTGCTGTATGTTACAGAAATGAAGCGAGTGAGATTTTTTATAAAACTTCCTAATTTTTAACTTTTTATATTAAATTAAATTGTCGTTTTAAAACTATTTAGACTCTCTAATATGTCCTCATCGAAGAAGGAGCGAAGGCCTATCCTATAAATGGAGTCGAATCGAATAGTTAGTGAACTATATTATTAGTAACAGAAAAATACCTATATTACATAAAAACAAAAGGAAAGCTATGACAGCTTGACATATAAAGAAATACCTATGTTCAACAATAAAGGCGATATTTGAATATATCATAATATAGTAACTGAACATACCTTGCAAGTACGGGGGAGCTCGAGATAATAAATTTTCGGTCACCTATCATATGACCGGCCCTTACGAAACTTTCTTAATTTCAATATCGCAGGCAGAACGCGCTCGCGATTTCGCTATTGAGCTATCTTTAGTATGCCTGGTTCTAAAAGCATAAACGTCTCTAAGGTATACCGGCTTGTGACCTTTGCAACTTAAATTTTATTATCAAAATCGGTAGAAAATCACCCTTTCTCCCTTAATATAAATAGGTGGCAATTCGCTACGTTTGCACTCTGTCTAATTGTTACCCTGTTGTTTCTGAGACTGCTATTGATGAGCCAATTATATACCGCAATAGCCTTAACCAACTTCGATTTTGTGAAATAAATGGGCACTTTCTCCTTGTTAAATGTAGCAGTAATTTAAACTGTTATCTTTAATCAATAGACCTTTTCGGATCTTTTGTGTCGTTTTAATTTAATATTTTGCATTAAGCATTATAGCTACTGTTTTTAATCTAATCTAAATATATGTAATGTATTGCATGACACTTCAGTATTTTATGTAATTGAGTAAAAATGTCTTGAAGGTTAATTCAAAATATATTTTAATGTTGACTCTATTCTAAATTTTTATATTCGAGGTAACATAATTTTTAATTCGATATAGGCTTTTTCTTTCCGAAAACCAACCACCAATATCATAATGAAACTATATAGTTAAGGTTCAATTTTATATTTTCTACAAGTTTTACACAACCAGTCAATTAAAGGTATTTTTTATATGGTATTATTATTATAACATTTTCTTCCTCTTAATTCATTGATTTCATTTTTTAGTACTGTTACTTGTTAGCTTCTAAATCCTTCACTTAGCTACGAGAGTTTTCTCATTTCGTTTTTACTTACATAATATGTATATACAGAACTGTTATAATGTACGGTAATTTGGACAAGTTCGAGTTTTTCATATCCAAGTTGGCAATGAAACCTCAAAAAGAATCAATTCTATGTTTTTAGAAAGACAAAAAAATACGGTTGGCGCCAACTCAAATGAGTGAGTCCATTTGATGGCGATGTGTGTACCTTTCTTAAGAAGACTTTAAATATTATAACATCCATTTGAATCTATCAATATAATTTATTATAAATATAATTTTAACCTATACTCTTAAGTTAAGTATTTCTGATATGTAGAGATACACAGAACATCAAAAAGTATAAAACAAAGTCGCTCCCCGCTGTCTGTACGCTGAGATCTTCTCAACTACACAATGGATATTAATGCAATTTTCATCAATATACGAAGTTATTTAAGAAGAAGGTTTATATGTATAGTACCGGACCACGCGGGCGAAAAGTTAGTAACTAATAAACCATTCTTTATTTAAGACTAAGAAATAATAAGTATTTATACATTTGTGATGTTGAGTTTAATTTTAGCAAATTAAGCGTGTCGTACAATGACTTTGAACAAGACGGACATAGGTAAATAAATTTTGTTTACCCTTTTAACTGTCTTTACAGTGCCTATTTATTTTAAGTCTAAATTTCCGCTTGAGGCGTTTCGAACTGCAGACCTGCACATACACGTATCCTCGCTTACGGCGCACACGCTTCGAAGCTAGGAACTTCCATTTTATAGCTAAGAATAACCATAAAAGTATGATTTATAAACGTCGCCTCACCGTTGGTTGCCGTAATAAAACCTACTGCTTCGTGCCATATGGAGTTAAATCGCGCCAATTCTATTGAATGTGGTTTATTTCTAGCCTAACTTCTTACCAATGTGGTTAAATAAAAGGTAAAGGAACTCGCAGATCGCAAAATAACTATTTTAGTTGTTGCTTAAATAAACTTAAATAGATGATAATCTCTTTTACAATGATTTCGATTTGTTCGTAACATTAGGATGAAATCTAACACTACTATTTCACGAATTTCACGACGTTCATCTTTATCGAACTCCAATATATGAAGGCGATACTTATCAGACTTTATAAATAGCGTCTTATAGGTATATTTCAATAAAATATTATTTATTTGGTATAATAACTATAGTAGATTCCAATCGTTCATTGAACTTTAAAAATTAACTGTTTGCGGTGTCTGACGTTTATCTGACAGTGAACTCGAGTCCTTTAACGAGCACAATAATGAAGAGCCGGGAACTGTGGCCGGGAAGTTGCAGCGAGTGCAGCGTGCGAGTCTCGCCGCCTCCGCGACAACGCGTTCGCCCCGCCCACGCGCTCTCGCTCTTCCACAGAGCGCGCGAGCGAGACAGCGCCACTCCCTCCGAAGCCTCCGTACTGTTTCCAAGAAAAGCCAACTGTTATTAACCGGCGCGGATTGTTCTCGACCTCTCGCCGCTTCATTTGGCCGAACTCATGAATGGGCCGCGGCTCGCTGCTGCAGGTGCGCGCCCACGGGCGCTGTTTATCGACAATCCTAACTCGTGAGATGCAATTTGCAGCACGCCACGCGGCAATTTTCGGAGGCAAACTCAGTCACGCTCAATGTACATTTTGGCCACAGGAAGTCGCCGCTCGAAGGCACTTTCCCCTAATTTTGAATGAATTCCGCTCACTGATCGCTTAGCCCGTCCATCAAATCGCCCACACAGTTTCGGGTATGGATATATGCCATATGGGTTAGCCGTCAATCGTGCATCTATTGGCACCATGCACGCGATAATTTCGGCGTCTGTTCGAAGATATATTAGCCGCTGCCAACGATTGAATAATCGTAGCATCGGCAATTAATAAAATAAAAAAAAACAACGGATACAAGCGAGATGTGATCGTGATGACAATGTATCATTGCACCACTGACAGTTAACAATCATCCAAACAATACGTGATTGAGTGATATTAGAAACAGCGAAAGTAAAACAATCGTTTTAATGTGTAATCATTCTTTGCGCTGACCTCAATATAAACTTGGATATAATTTCTCTTTGGATTTATTCAATTA